AACCAGCTAGAAGCTGGGAGATGTGGATTGGACCTCCCATTAGATGAGCTAGTAGCAAGGTTAAGTGCATTGGAAAATCTCACCAACTAAGATAAGTAGGATAATATGTAATTATTTCATTTCGAGATTTTTTCGGTTGTAATATTCCCAATTAGATACACTAACCATAACTACAAACATGTCTAATAAAAAAATTCCAGCGTCGATGCAACATAATCTTTCTATAAAAGAGAAATGTCTCAAGAATGTTTTCATTGCAGGATTAAATTCTAATAACCAGCTATTAGCTGAAAAATATGGAAAGAATCTTCCATTAGAAGAGTTGGTAAAACTGCTGATTAGAAATGAAATATCCATTGAGCGTGATCCACCACCGCCATACCACCCATGAAATTTAGCACCTTGTACTAGCTCCGCTAAGGCATCGCTCCTAAAAATTAATTATGTGTCTTGACACTAGCTTCGCTATCGAGTTATATAAAGTGATACCGCATGATAATTTTTCGTTTAGCAAATTATATTTACCTAATGTAGGAAAGCAAGTCGGCCTACCCGTCTGCCGTATTTAATTTTTTCGGTTAGCTTAGAGGATTGTGCATTCAAATTCGAGACAGGCTCTTCCGATCTTGAGAATGTATAATTATTTATTAGTTATTTTTTCAGCCATAATATACATCATTAAATATAATTGATATGCGCATAGAAACTCTTGTAGAAGGAAAAATCCCAGTCAAAGCATTAATAGATACATCCTCGAAGTTTAATACTATTAGCAAGAGGCTGTTCAATAAACTTAAATCGAACCACGGAATACGTCCTAGCTGTGGTCCTGCTGAGTGTCTCTATGGAGACGTAATAGGTGAGATAAATTACTTAGATTTACAGTTTTGCTGTAAAGGAGAATGGCAAAGTTTAGATGGTACCGATGCAATATACTTCAAAATTCGTAAGAATCCAACATTCGATCTGGTATTGGGTCGAGGGTGGTTGTGGGTACATGAAGTTAAGATGAACTTTAAATTATCTTCTAAAGGAAGCTATGACCCTCATGCTAAAATTGTAATAGATGGTATGAGTATTCTAGTAATTGATGAAGGTAGCAAACCCACAGGTGACTCTTCGAGTCATAAAGCCAGCTCCTCTAAAAATAACTTATCTAAATCAACGGAATCTAAACCTGGTCTAGCTCAAGAGGAGATTATGAATATAATTAACAAAATTCTCTTAAATATCGAAGATAGACTCGAAGAGTCATTGCTTTGCAGGCCCAAAGGGGCAAGTCTAAAGACTCATAATAAACAACAAATATTTCGCAACATACCTTCTGCACATCCACCATCCAGAAGACTAAATGATGATCTCAGTAGAGAAATTAAAAGGGCAACCCGAAATCTGAAAAAACGATGCACATGCTCCACGATACGACCCAAATTTGAATCGTTCTCATTGCCCATGACATATGTTCGAGATAAATTAATTATCAACCGTACTAACTTCGTTAAAATAATTTTTTCTTAAGGAGAGAAGTCATTTTTGCGCAATCTCTGATGGAATTCACTTCGTGTAGTTTGAAATTTCATGTGCGAGGATAAGGGTTCTTTACCTCTATATTTTATATCGCGTGGAACAAACTTGGTAATAGCATAATTAGTATCTAATTCCGGGTTTGTAAGTTGATAATTAATTTTCTCTTTAAGGTCATACATACGTACCATCAAACTGAGACTTTCAGCCGTACCTCTCATATCCCGTTCCAATTCCACAATTGATTTTTGATAATGTTCATCTTTAATCTTGTCTTCGCAGTATTGTACAATATCTTCGAGATTCGCATAGGTTAACCATAAATTCTGTGCTAAATAAACAAGTGATGTCCGGAGGTCATTAAGTTCTTCTTCTGGTGTTTTTTCGAGTGCCGAATCTTGTTTTATCTTAATTTTTGAACTAAGTTTCCTCAGCGCATCTTTACTAATGGTTGTGCCTACTATAGAAAGATATTCTAAGTTTGAACAATGCTGTACAATTTCACTAATAACTTTATCAGTAACAAGACGACAGCACCTGATATCGAGATATTTTAAATTTTTACACGAACGTACAATATTACAGATAGATATGTCAGAAGCATCGCAACCGCCGATATCAAGATGTTCAAGTTTCGGGCAAGAGTTAGTGATATTACGGATAGATGAACCAGTAACAAATCTACATTGATCAAGTTCGAGGTATTCTAGATTATGAATATGTTGTAACAATTTATTAACCGAATTGTCAGTGATGTTATGACAACCTGTTAAAGAAAGGTGGCGAAGATTAGGGCATGAGGAAGCAATTGCAATTATCGTCCGATCAGAAATTGGCTTATGCCGTTTTAATCCACCGATGCATAGAAGTTCTAATTTACAATTTGCTTTTACTATTTTATATACGAAATCATCAGTGATGTTCCCACAAAAACCAATATCAAGGTGCCGTAATTTTTGGCATGATTGTACAATTTTATATATAGGATGACCAGTTATACCTTGGTTACCACAAATATTGAGAAATTCTAAGTTGGGGCATAATCGGGTAATTACTATAAGTGATGCATCAGTAAAACCTCCACTTTGTTCAAAATTTAGATTGGTTATATTTGAATATGAGCGTAAAATATAAAGAATTTTTTTATCCGAGAGTTGGGAATAATGTGTAATTTTGAGACTTCTTAGGCTTGAACTATAAGATGTTTTCTGTTCTTTACATGCCGATGCTAAAAATTCTTCTAAAAGGGTAATATCTTTACCGGATGCCGATGTTCTATCTCCTACAAACTCGAGGTGAGTAACTTCAGCTGAAAGCCAGCTCGCATCATTGCTAGTATTGATTCCGTTTTCTTTTATTTCGGATAGCATTTTTTGTGAACTATATTTATAATAATATTCATTCAAAGTAAAAAAAATAATCGATCATGATTATCAGGATTTTTTATATATTGGATTACACGTATACCGCCTGTGATACATGTTGAGAATCGAAACCCATTTATTCCGAAATAAGACCTCATTGCATCTCGGTTAAGTAGCAAACAAAAATCGTGTGGTACATATAAGGAATTGCTGATTATCGGCGATATATACACACGATTTTATAGGTGAGCGATCACCCGATGTGCATAAATAGTACGAAATCGTCATATTTTGTGTTCGCTGGCAATTTATTACTTCGATTTAATACGAAATGCAAAGAACCAATGCTATGGATAGCTGATGCTGGGTTTTAATGTATAAAAACATGTCGATATCGTTGGAGTCTCAGGTAAGGGGTTCAGTCATACCAAAAGTCAAAATCAATAATTAATCAATTTATCAATTGCAAAGCAAATAACTACGAAAAAAATGCAACTCAACATTTCTGATATTTTTTTATTTGCGATTTTCATCGCCGTAATCGTGCTCTATGAACTATATAATCAGAGCATCTTAACAATGGAGATGGTTTATTCCGTTATCCCTGAAAATACAATATTCTATGTAAT